GATCTACCCAGATCTTTCCATGACGCCAGCCTGACTTGCTAAAGAATCGAGAAACTCAGATAGCAGCAAGAAGAGCCCAGACTCAGCTCCGCTTCCCAGGTCCTGACAACGTGGCCAGAGGCAGGGGTTGGGTCTGGAGCTCACACACGCCGGGGTACTCACATCAGGTGGTCGCACACTGTGTCTTTGGCCCTGCTCTCCTCGGGAGGCGCCGCTGCGGGGTTCGGATGTGCTTCCCCCTCCTGGGCTGAATCAGAGGGACACGCGGGCGTTACGACAGTCCTCATGAGACAGACGCGCTCCGTCCCTTGTGCTTATCAACACACCTGCGTCTTTCCCAACGTGTAAACCCTCCCTCCCACCCTGCAGCCCTTTCTACCTGATAACAACCGCTGTGTGTTCTGTGTCCTCTCAACCCTCCTCAATTCCTGAAATCCTTCTAGCTGCCCTCTAAGGCAGGGGTCATCGACTCCACCGACAGATGAGGAAACGGGTGCAGGAGTGGTGGAAACAGCTGGTGACCGCTCAGCTAAGTGGTGACAGTTGGTGCCTCAACTCCTGGGTCACACCTCCTGCCCCATTTCCTCCTCTCCGCTCAGACCAGTCTGTGCTGTCCTCACCTCCCACATCCTCAGCTCCTGGCCCTCAGTCACACTCTCACTCTCTCGTTTGTTCATTCAACAAATATTTATGGAGCATCTGCTGAACAGCAGGCACGGATCTAAGTGTGGGGGGCAAAGAGGTAGTCACTCTCGGGTCCCAGCTTAAACATCCTCCCTCTGACCTGTTCATCCCAGGCAGGTCCCCTGGCAGGGCAATAATTTGGTTAAATGCAGGGACCCTGCCTGGCTGGTCCATCACTGACCCTCCAGTGCCTAGAATGAGCTTGCGACATAGCAGATGCTCAGTTAGGAGTGCTGAGTGAACGAATGCATGAGGTGAGCCCTGACGGCTCATCACTGGCTTGAGACTAGGACCATGGTTCTCAACCAGGGACATCTGGCCAGGTCTGGAGACATTTTTGGTTGTCCCACTGGGGTGGGGGTGGGGCTGGGGGCTATGGGCATCTTGCGGGCCAGGGACGCTGCACAGCACTGGACAGTGCACAGGACAGTCCCGCAGCAAAGACCTCTCCAGCTCAAATGCCAACACCAGTGCCAAGGATGAGAAGCCCTGGCCCGAGGCCTCTACTTCCAGAACTCTCCTCCAAGACCCCAGAGTCTTCAGTTTTCCGCGTCGCCGTGGTCATTCAGGTCATGCAGGGGGAGTAAGTGCTCACAACTCGGAGTTCTTTTTTCAGCCTCTTTTGTTTTTTTTTTAAAAGAGATCAACCTCAGCTGGTTATGAAAGTGCATTAGACAATGTCACAAATTGCTGATGGCAGAGAGAAGCCTTTGAAAGGCCCCTGCATGGGAGGTTTCCACATGGAAACGATGCCTCCCGTCCTGCTGCCCTGACGCCCCTGACAGCCCCGGCAGCCTGTGCCTCTCGCTGGCTGACTGGCCAGACACAAAGGCTGTCCCCGTCCATTGCGTTACTTCTGCTTAACTGGGGCCTGGAGGGCGCCTGACGATGCTGTGTAGCAAGAAGGAAAGGGGGCTTCCCCGGACAATAAAGGAGCTGTTAAGTGAGGCATAGACTTCCCTTGCCCATCGGCCTGTGGGAACCCACAGGGTCATCAGAACCTGCCCTGAACACTAAGCTTTCCTCCGCGTCTCTCTGGACCAACCTGGGTCATTGTCCTTCAGGGTTGCAATCTCTCCTTCTATTTTTTTATGGTGTTCGGTCACTTTTTGGAGTCTTTCTTCAAGACTCACAATTGTCTGGGAGTGCTGTTTGATTTGCTCCTTGTATTCCATGATTTCTTTTTCAAAGCTGTGTTTCTGTGATTCCTGTTCTTCCTGGAGGGCCCTTACCGTGTGCTGCTGCAGCTGCATCCGCTCCTCCATCATGATCTGGGAAAACAGACACAGCTCATGTGATCTTGGGACTGAATATAATAGTAACAACATCAACAGTACTGCCCCTTTGCACCCACCAGCACCGAACTTGGCCCCACCCCAGGACCTTTGCACGTGCTGGTCCCGCTGCATGGTATACTCCTCCCGAGCTCCTTGAATGGCTGACTTTTCGGGTGTCAGGCCTCAGGGCCAATGACACCTCTGTCAGAGAGGCCCCCCTGACTGCCTATCTGAAGGAGACACCATCCCGTTTTATTTCCCCAGAAGCACCTGTCGTCATCTGAACAATTTCATTCCTTTATTTCTCGCTCCCACTAGAGTGTAAGCACCATGAGGACAGAAAGCTACTCTTTCCTATTTGCTGACGTGCCCGCGGCATCCATGCCTAGATCCCTGCCACGACATCTAGACCTAGATGTTCAATAAGCATTTGTTGGATTAATCAGTGAATAATCTTATAAGAAAAAGGTGAATGAATTTGTATGTCTTAAAAACAAAAATTACCAGCAGTCCCCCTGATGGTGAGTCGGACGCCTTCCCGTGACCGCCCTCCCTGCGTGCGGCACCTCTTGGCGCCTCCATCTCAGCGTCCCTCCAGCTCCTCCCACCTCCCTCCTCCGCCGTCTGGGTGACATCATTCTTCTGCTCCCTGTTCCCAGTTAACATGCTGGGCCCCAGTCTCCAGTCTTCTCCCGATGTGCAAACTCTTTGCCTGAGCCACTCACACGTGCCCGCCCTTTCAACAATCACTCCATTGAGGCCACCTTCCAAATTTAGACCCCGTGTCTTGCTTCCTCCCCCAAATCTATTGTGCCACCAAAGCTGTGCACAACGTTTGAACTTTGATATCCTACCCTCACCTGAGTTCTTCATCTTCTCCAGAAGAGAGTCCTTCTCCCACAAGAGACCCCCTACCACGGCCTCCATACTTCCGCCATCTCCATGTGCCATCATCCCCCTTGGTGCCCTGGCTTGAAGCTCGCCTGTCTCCTTGTGGTCCTCCCTCTCCTAGACGTGAGTCCTGGCAATCAGGTATCAAGTCCTGCCATTTCTCGTCACTCTATAGCGACTCCTTCCTTCCACTCCTCTGCTACCTTGAGTGTCCAAGTCCTTGTGATCCTGGACGACAAGCAATGGCCATCCCACGTCACACCCCGAGCTGGTGTCTCCAGCTCCAGTCCCTCTGAAAATCACTCTGTGCACTTCTGTCAGGTCAATCCTTATTACCTCTTTGTCCACAGACTTGCTGGGTGAATGTGTGAGTGACAGGTGAGTGCAACAGTGAGCCCTGATGGTGGAGGGCCTTGAATGCCGAGCTAAAAGTGAAAAACATTATCTTACGGTCTGTGGACTCATCACTGATCACTAGATTCAGGGCTGCTCAGTCCTTCAGCCTGATCTTGTAAAGACCCCAAATTGATTATGACATCTTAGAGCACCTTGGAGAGAGGGCGTCATAGTCTCTGTTTACCTTTTAAACTAAACAAATGCTTCTCAACAGAGGGTGACTTTGCCTCTCAGGGAACATCCGGCAAAGTCTGGAGACATTTTTTGCTGTCACAACCTGGGGGGTGGGGGGAGGGTGCTACTGGCATCTCGTGGGTAGAGACCAGGGATGTTGCTACACAACCTATGATGCACAGGATAGCACCCCCCCATACCCCTCCTCCCACCACGAGAAAGAGTTACTTGACCCAGAACATCAGTAGTGCCGTGGCTGAGAACCCCTGATCCTCATGGCATTGTGATCGTGCAGTGATGGAAAAACTCTCCCGTCCTTGGAAGGCACCAACTTACCACTTTTGTCTTGGCAGTTTCCAGTTCAGCCAGTGTTTCATTTAATTTCACGGTGAGGGTCTCTACTTTCATAGTCTCAGCTGCCTTGGTTTTCTGAGTCTTTTCTACCATGGCCAGTGCGTCATTTAATTTATTATTTAAGATGTCTTCTTTTTGCACTTTTAAATCTATTTCCTAGACAAACAACAAACAGCAAATTAGCAGAAATTCGGGAATAAATGTTAATCCTAGCCTTTCCTCATCCTGTTTTTAGAGAGGAGGTGACCTCTGTTCTGCTACTGTCCTGTTGAGCCTTTTTAAGTCCAAAGTTCATGCTTTCTCTGGAAGGTTCCAATTATTATAGAACTCTTTTATATTCAGCTGAGATTTGTCTCCTTGAGATTTCTGGTCTCTGAGCACAGTTCTGTAACCTAGAGCTCACTGACTAAGTTTTATTTCTCTTTTATGAGACAGGCCTTTAAATATTTGAGGAGGGCTGTCATGTCTTTCTCTAAATCTATTTTCCAGGAAGAATGTGCCGAGTTCCTTCACCCGCTCATCACAGGACCTGCTTTCAGGACACTCCTTCGTTTTCCTACGTGGCTTCAGCACCTGGATGACCTCCCCTCCTCCCGTGGGACCCCGGCAAGGTTGGACTCTGGCTGCCACGTCCTCAATGTCCTCCCCCTCCTCCGGGAACCCAATCTTCCAATCTTTGTCAACACTCTCCTCTCCTCCTTGAGTCCATCCTCAAACACTGTGGAATGTGGACTTTGTGACAGGCGCTGTGCTGGGGCTGGACGGACTTATTTACTTGACTTCAATTTTTTAAGAGCAGTTTTCGGTTCACAGCAAATTGAGAGGAAAATACATTACAGGGGTTTCTTATCCACCCCACCAGCCCCACACACGCACAGCCTTCCCTACTACCCACATCCCCACTGGACGGGTCCATGTGTTCAACGGATGAGTCTATGTGGACACATTGTTATCACCTGAAGCCCATAGCTTACATTAGGGTTCACTCTCAGTGTCAGCCTATGGGTCTGGACATTTGTCATTAACATTATCCACTGTGATAGTATCATACAGAGTAGTTCTACTGCCCCCCAAATCCTACACGTGTTCCATCTTTTCATCCCCTCTCTCCTTGCCAATCCCCTGTCTTTTTACTGTCTTCATCGTTTTGTCTTTTCCAGAATGTCGTGTAGGCAGAATCATACTGTATGCATCTTTTCACATTTTTTAATCCAATCTAAAATATATTCTTGAGGTTCAGGGCTGGGCATTCCTGGACTCTGCTGCTGACAGTGAAAACTGGCTTGAACTTTCTGAGGGGGCAGGTGTCATTTGGGAAGGTGTATCACCAGCCTGAAAATGTTCATATCCTGTGACCCGGTAATTCCTTGTTGGGGAATTTATGCTAAGGGCAGAACCGCACATGTGCACAAAGCCTGATGCACAGCGTTGTTCAGCCAAGCATTTTTCTCTCAAGTGAAAAGTGAGAAACAGCCCAGTGCCTGAGGGTGAATGAATCCAGGTTCACCCAACACAGTGCATCCTTCACCGGCAGGTCATGGAAGAATGTTCAGTGACATGTGGACATATTTATTACATACGGAGTCAAAAAGCCATGTCCAAATCAGCGTGCACAGTATAACGGTGTAAATCACATTGTAATGAATCTGTATTTGTTGGTGTCTGCAATAATGATCAACGTGAAGCCAGACTGGAAGGAATCACATCAGAACGTCACTAGTGGTAACTCTGCTCAGTGGAATCCTGGGCAATTCTTATGGTCTTCTGAGCGATTTTCCATATTTTTCAAATTGTCTAGAGCAAACAGGTACTCCTCTTATAATTGGGAAAAGACACTGATTTTTTCTGGGGTGGGGGACAAAACAGAATGTGATTTTCATCATGCAGTGTCTGCCAGACTCGCCTGGGAGTCGGTGCCATCTCTTTGTACCGCTGCAGTCTGTTCTTATTCGGTGCCTTGACGTGGTCGTTGCTGTTGAGAAATCCCGGTGTAGGCAGCGTGATGACCTGGCCCAAGGAGGCGCTCCCTGGGGACATCGGCAGGCAGAGCACAGAGCAGCAAGGCTCGGCCTGCCCCGGAGAACCCGCGACAATCTGAGATGGCTTCTCTGATGGACGGTGAATCTGCCCGGGGGCGGGGCACACTGCCTGGCATCTTTGCTCCTTGCTGGCCACTCACCAGCTTGCTCAAGTTCATGGTTCACGCGGTTCTGAGTTTATCTTTCTTCTCCCCTCTCTCCTCTTTTGCCTGTATAAATCCTCTTTTCGCCTGTGTCGATGAAATCGATCTTTTGAACGCTCTTCCGCGTGTAGAAGTCAAACAGCACCCAAATGAGCAACTCTGCGTCTGAGTGGGTCTTTGACCTTGTACTTCCTGGGTCTTTCCTGGTAAATGGGGAGTCCCTGGGGCAGAGCCCCGTTTCTCTCTGTCTGGTGTGATGCCACCAGCCGGCCTCGAGGGCTGTCACAATTCCTCACCCTCTGGTGTCACCGCTGTTTTCACTAAGGCTGTTGTTGAGGACGCTGTTGGTTGTATGACAGAGTCTGCTCTCTGCTGGTCCTGAGGAGAGATGCTCTCTGGGCCGAGTACCCAGAAGGTCTCATTTCCGGGAGCACTCGGTCCATTTCTGGCTAGTGAACTGCACAATCCCTTTCACTGTAACTCCTAGACTAAAAATTGGGACTCATTTATCAATGTCATGCTCCACTACTTTTTTTTTTTTTGCATTAGTCTCGTTCCAAATCCATTTTCTGTCCTGAATAATCTATCTTAAAATTCTAACTCCTCCTTTTCCCCTACCCCTAACTGAAGGACTTTATGGAAGAGCCATGGTGAAGCATCTGGGGAGACAAGGCTGCGTGTAGAGATGGCACCCTTTGGGCTCTCCCTCCGCCTGCAGCGCTGCCCGCCCACGGGGAGTCCGGCACAGGTGTGTCAGCGGGAGCTGACAAATCTTGCATCGCTTCACCCAGCTCTGGTCTGCTCCCTCTGGACACGCCCCAGCTGGTCAAGGCCCCACTTAAAAAGTGGTGCCTGGGACTGATAAGTAATCCAGATGTGGTTCACGGGCACTCATCTCCCTGGAGCAGCGTCGTTCCAAGAGCGCATGGGCTACTTGTTAAAAATGCAGATTCCTGAGTCCACCCTGCAGACGGTGAGTCAGAATTTCTGGGGGTGAAGCCCAGCAACTGGGAATTTAAAATGCACCCTGCCCTCCAGTGTTTCTATGCATGCTAGTGCTTGGGAATATTTCTTCAAAGGAAACAATCTAAGATCAATGTGAATAGACTTACAGGCCCGTTTAGACCCATCTGGTCTTGAAAATCCTTTGAAATTGATCTTACTCGTATTTAAATTTAACTCACTATTGTCAGGTTGTGGGTTTATCATTTGCTATAATAATAAAAATTAAAATAAAATAAAAATAATAAAAGCAGCCGACACACGCAGCGTTCGCAGAGTGCTGGGTGCTTCTCTCTGTGGATGTGAGCAATCAAGCCCCACAGCTCCACGAGGTTGACCTGTTGGATTACCTGTATTTCATAAATAAGGAAGCTAAGGTGCAGAGATGACAACTCCTGCCCAACGTCCCACAGCCAGAGGGTGGCAGAGGTGGGATCTGAACCCGGACCGCCTGCCCCTGGAGCCCAGGGCTCAGCCATCCCGGCTCCTCCACGTCTTTTCCTCTTTGAGACTCGTACCTCCTTCTGCTTGGTTACACGGTTCTCCAGATCTTGCACCTTTTTCTTTTCCTTCTCTATGGCCTCCTTTGCTTTGTGCTTCTCGTAGGCGATGCTGCTCTCTGTAATCTGGAAGTCAGTGACAAGTGGTGTGAGGGTGTGGCACGAGGAGGAAGGGGAGGACGCTGCAAGGGGAAGCCGGGGTTAGTAATCGCTGAAACCAGTGAGTCAGGGTTTGGGAGTGAGAGCTCTAGGAACAGGAGGACACCTGGAGGAGAGGGAGGTGAGAACCTCAGCCTGCCTGGCACGCCAAGAACCCGGAAGTCATGGCTTGTTTGATTATATCCCTAAAAGGGAGAGTAATTCGTCACTCAGGATTTCTGGGCTGGTGCTCAGGAAGTGACATGCTGGTGAGTGTTCAGGTCAAGGCGTTTGGTGCTGAGCCACTAACTAAACTACTAAACAGGTGTTGGCCCAGTGCCGGCCCTTGGAAGTGCCCGGCCTCTTGGGAGGTGGGGCAGGAGAGACGAAGCCTGGTGAGGCACACGGGGAGCGGGGATGCCTCCTGTCCCAGCAGGCTTGATGCCTGTGGCTTCAAAGGACACCGGTGGTCTCCCTCCAGCCTACAGAGGCTTGGGTCCAAAAACTGAAGTCCAGGGCAGTCTGGGACCGAGAACATATACCCCACAGATCCGGTGACAGGGAGGGGATAGAAGCCCAGCTTCACCCACACAAGCCCTAGGAGGTACACAGCCAGAGCAGGGTCGAAAAACTCAATTGGTAGCTGTTGAAACTCTTGTAGTTACATCTCCCATGCAAATACAAGGTTCACAGGGACAACACTTAATAAACAAACAAACAAATGAATAAATTACATAAACAAAGGCTGGAAAGATGTGCACCGTCTTTCACATAATGGGGGTTTGAGATTATGGTAACTGGTAATTTCTTATTTCACTGCTCTGTAATCTTTTAAATTTTCTTCAGCAAACAAGAATGATTTGGTAAAAAGAAAAACTACTGAAAGTTTTAAGAGGGGCTGCTCTGCTGGGGGCAGGATGAGACGTCAGATGCGTGGCCCTGGAGTAAAGGTGATCTTCCCAACAGTGCTGCTGTTCCAGCATCGTGTCCCTGGCCTCCATCCTCCCTGTCCCGCTCTGCACCCAGGCCTCCCTGCTCCACCTGGGCTCTGACTCTTCTCCCTGCAGGGGCTTGGCATTTTCCTACTGCCAAGTGCTTAAGATTGTTCAGCCCCGACCCTGCTGTCTAAGAGACCACCACCCTCTTCCATGTGCCCCGTGGGAGGGTGCGTTCCCTTCTCTAATTTTGTGCTCCCTGGCAAATCACAAATGAAAATGACAATGATGATACTGCCCGCTCTCTACATGCTACCCCGTGAGCACCTGCACCGCGTACTGAACGCAAGCCCCTAGGCAGCATCTGCCCCTCATTTCGCAGGTGAGGATGTGGAGGCTGTCAGTGAGACAGTAAGAGGATGAGTAATGTGCCAAGGTCACACCATCAGGAGGTGGTGGTGCCAGCTCAGACGCTGGTGCCCTGCCCCAACTATTCTGTCGCCTGGCTTCTGGACCTTGCCTGACCTGTCCTCCTGGTTCAAACTCCACTCTACCTGGAGGCAAGAGACACGCTCGTGTATTCATACTTAGGCTGGCGCAGAGTCTGCCAACCCGCTCATCTATATTAGGGATGCTCCGGGGACAGCCACTGACCACGGTTTGGGTTTTACTCCTTAACAAGGCATACTCTGAGTCAGTGCACCCTCACCCTATGTGGACTGTGACCTCACTTCCTTGCATGGGCTGGCACAGTCCCACTGCCAAGGTCTTTGCTTGACTATCCAGCCCCCACGTTGGGCCACACGCACCATCCTCCCCACCCGACCTGGACTCTGACCTCACCTGGGCAGGTGCTTCCCAGTGAATGCACTGATTCCAGACAACAAACTACTGGGGTGGTTCTGTCATTGTACCCACATTACAGATGAGGGCCCAGAGAGGGCAAGGGGCTTGTCCAGGGTCACACAGCATGTTAGGGCAGAGCTGAAATCTGAACCATGCCCCACTTCGCCCACTCTGTGTCTCCCTCCGACTTTCTTCCCCTGACCTCTCATCTGGCTTCTGTCTTGTTCCAGCTTATTTCACTCCTCATGCCCCCACCTCCGCCCCCTGGGGCTAACGCAGGCCCTCCCTCCTTTGCACGTGGCCTGCTTGATGCAGGGGCGTCTCTTCCTCAGATGTTTCCTTGGTGCTTCCTCTCCCCTCCGGGTCTCACTCAATGTTATCTCCTCCGAGAGGCTCTCCCTGCCTGTGGGCCACTCCCTAACCCAGCCCTCTTTTGTCTTCTCCACGGCACCTGTGGCTCTGCAGTCACCCTGTGCGTCTGTGGTTGTCTGCCCCCCCATCCTAGAGCGGAAAGTCTGGGAGGGCATGGTCAAGGTCCGTCTAGACCCTGCAGTGTCCCTGATGCTCAATAGGGCTGAGCACACGGTAGATGCTCGGTAAATATTTGCAGATGGATGAATAAAACTGAATTAAGCAACTCACTGAGTCACGGCTCTGTTTCTGGAAGTTCCGCGAGGGCCAGCATGTGCCTGCGTGTGCCCTCTCCGGCCCTCAAGCTCAGCTCCTGGAGATGCCATTACAGGTCCCTAAGGGCCCATATCCCTGGCCTCCTGACCCTGAGAGCCCTTCTTTGGCTTCCAGAGTGTGGCTCTGGTGTTCAGGCTGAGCTGAGTGACAGCCCTCCTCCCAGCCTTGGGGTCTGCCTTCCATGGGCAGGTGTGGCTGGTGGGCCTAGTCCCCAGGCTGCTGGGGGTGGATGTCTCCAGCTCTGCCTGGGCTTGGCACTAGGACAGCCCTCCCCCCACCACATCACCCTCTCCTCGAGGGTACACTTCTCATCTGCTGCAGAAGGCAATGACCCCTGGCGCTTCTGTGATGTGCCCATCCTGTGAGTGGGTTAAGTACCTGTCTACTCCATCGTACTCTGCGATGCTTGTGTCTCTACCCGTCTATCGGTCCAGGGAGGGTCTCCTTGGGAGTCTGCAAAACTGGGGGGGTGTTTTTCTCCTGTGTCCATGCTGGGTTGCATCAGAAATACCTTCCAACGATGAGGAGGAGGGGGACTGACCCAGACTCCAACCCTGGGGTTCTCCCCTGGGGTACATCTCTCTTATGAGTTACCTGACCAGCAGTGCTTAAGCACAGGGCCCTCCAAGTATGAGTATGGTTCTAAGTACTTAATCAGTACTCACTCATTTAACCCCATGAGGCAGGGACTATTACCAGCTCCATGTTCCGGATGGGGAAACTGAGGCACGGGGGGTTAAGTGGTCTGCCCTAGGTCATACGGTTGGTGAGCTGTAGGATGGGATTCCGGCCACTCTGAGTGGGGGCGCCGCTCCCACCTGCCCACGTTACCCCCTGCTCTACATCAGGGCACCACGTCTGGTTCTGGGGCTCCTTCCAAAGGGGTCTGGCTGCCACAGCCAGCTTTCTCTCTCTCTGCTCCTCATACCTCCTTCTGCTGGGTTAAATGGTTCTCCAGGTCTTGCACTTTTCTCTTTTCTGTCTCTAAGGCTTCCTTTGCTTTTCTTTTCTCATGGGCCATGCTGCTCTCCAAAACCTGAAAAATCAATGACCAGTCTTTTTGGTCACCTGCACCTTTAGAGGCAAAGTTGCTAATAATGGTGACACTGTTAATAATGCTAATAGCTCAGATGCTGGGGGTTTGGTCTTCCGTGCCAGGGCCCAAGGCTGGCACGTCTTACCCAGTTTGCTCTCACAGCAACCATATCAGGAAGTGAGTGGCCCCATTTTATGGATGAGGAAATTAAGGAACAGAAAGTTGATGAGGGCCGAGGGGTCATGCAGTCTGTTGGTGGCGAGGCCAGGACTGAACCTTGTGCGACAGGAGGCACGTTGCCTGTGTGCGGAGGCCCTGGCAGGAGGCGAGGGAGCAGAGGGAACCAGGCCTGTCTTATTTCGGAGTCTAAACTCTTATCAGGGCACCAGGCAGCCTCTCGGATAAGAAGAAGAATCTCATTAATAATGGAATTTCCCATTATTGAAATAAATCGCTTAAAGAGAATCAGGTTTCCAGGGGAGGGCGGTGTATTGAATTAAAGAGTCACACGATTTCTAGAAGGGGTGCGGGCGAACCTCACCAGGGAGGCTCTGACAGGGTGGGAGGGACGAGGTTAGTATTTAGTGCCCATAATCAAGGAATTTTATCTAGGAAGCGACTTGCTGATACGCTATTCAGTTGACGCAAATCACAGAAGGATCTAAGCTGCCGGCAGGGCCCGTCTCCAGTGGTGGCAAGAAAGGGCACCTCGACTTTCAAATGGGTTGTACGTTAAACGCCAGCCTGGCTGTCAAATGTCTGGAACTTGGAACATGGCTTCCATTACAGCTGGTGGCTAGGGGTCTAGATCAGCCTGCAAAAATATTTAATCTCTAACATGGATGAAATACGACATATTTTGATATATTTTGCAGTGAAAAGTCATTAAAACCCCCCAACACTCAGCTGTTCCAATACCAGCCCTAAACGAAGCAGGAGAGCAGTCACATCACGGGAGATTCACATTTATTTTGAACGTTTGAGGCGGGTTTCGGGGTAAGACATCTTCCTGCCAGTGACTGGGTTGGGTCCCCCGCGCCTGGTCTCATGTCTATGCTTGGGGCTTTGCCCTCAGCAGCTCCTCTGCTGCTGCGACGGCCACTCCGGGGAACACTGTCCTTGCATGAGTCACACACGGCTCCTGTCCCCTCAGCTGCTCGGCTCTCTGGGCAGGTGGTGGGAATTCACCTTTTGCGATACCTCAAAACTCGCATTATGACCTAGTGGTTCCGCTGTCCTTAAAGATGTGTCTGACAATAGGGAGGGAGGTCTAACAGAAAAAGGAGTCAGGTGACCCTCTGAGGTTGATCAAAGTCTGCGCCTGGGATTTTTATCTCAGATTCCCTTGACAAGAAGCTGTGGAGAGGTTCTGGCAGGAGACGTGGGCTGGCGTTTTTCTTGGCCTGGGGTGACCTGGCCACGGCTCCTCCCTGCCATGGGGTGTCCATCACCAGGCTTTCCTGTAATCTCTCTCCTGAAGTCCCCTGTGACCTCGAAAGCTCTAAATTCAAGGGGCTGCCCCCCAGCCCGGGGCTATTGACCTCCTGGTGGCATTTGGCCCTGGGAGCCCTTGTGAGCGCCTCCTCCTCATCGCCACCCCTGGAGAAATAACTCAGGGCCAGGCCTCGGTGACACTGTTTACACAGGCCTGCAGAGCCCAGCTGCACGCAGACCCCAAGTGAGACCCGACATGTAAACACCTTCCCTCTTGGGATCAGATCAAATTGCAGAGGCTCCATCTTTGTCCCTCAGGGGTGGGTGGGCAAGGCTTTTACTCTGAGGGGTGGGGACAGAGTGGGGGGTCGACAGAGAACAAATGCCTAAACAGACATAGAAGTACAGTGATCATACTAAACAGCCACCGTTCACTGCGTGATGCTTCTGCCAGACACTTCACTGTACAGCGTCTCTAATCCTCACAGCCATCCTTTAAAGAAGGCAGATAATGAGCCAGTCAGGAGCCCAGCCAGAATTTGAACCCATGTCTCATCTGGCTGCCAAGCCTGCATGCCCCTGGGCTGCCTCAGGATTGAAACGCTAACGAAAGCATTTTGTAAAAAAGACTCAGGGAATCTGAGGGGGACCCCGAGGTAAGCATGAGTGAACAATGTAACAGGGCTTTCCCCAAAGCTAGTCTGGGCACATCAATAGAAGTCTAACATCTTCAACAAGGGAGGGGAGAGTCTTGGTCTAGGCCACTAATGGCTGGAGAACTGGGTCCAGCTTTGGCTACAAATGGTTTAGGAAGAAAACAGATGAACGGCCACAAACTCAGATGCCTGTGGAGGCTGGACAGTTACCCCAGATGAAGTGGGTTGTGTTTAATGCTGCAATAGCGAATGCTGAGGACTGTGGCAAATTTCTTCTACTTGGTTCAGCTCCAGCCCATTTTTGTCAAATGGAAAAGAGGGCCAGATTTTCTGACTTTGCAAGGGAGGATGGAAATCTGGATTTTTTAGCAAATTTTATGAGTTCAAGATAAAACTTCCCACGGCCAAACATAACATGTCCACAGGCCCTTTTCAGCTGGTGAGCTGCCAACCAGTGACTTCTGGAGAGCAGAGCAGGTCAGAGGAGGGGACCAAGGCTGGGCCCCAGCCCTGTGAGGCATATGAGGAGGGACAAGGCGATTTGGGTCTGGAGAGGAGCAGGTGCCTCTATTTTCAAGCATCTAAAAGGCTGTGGAAGAGAAAGTAGATGGGTGTGGCAGGAGCCCAGGGGGCGCGTGGAAGACTGATACCCTTCTGGGAGAGAGTTTCATTCAACTCAACATAAAGGAAACATTTTCTGCCAGCCCAAGGCATCAACCCTAGGATGGACTGCCCTGGGCTGTAGAAAATTCCTTGCTGGTGGATTGCAGGCTGGATGATTTGGGGATGTTTTCGGAGGATGCACGCAGCCCTACAGTCCCAGGACTCTGTACCTCCTCCATTTCTGTGCTCTGGGATGCAATCTCCATGCAGAAGATGCTCATGTCATCAGTCCCAACTTATCTCCCAAGCCCTGTCTAGGACTGTATTTTAAACTGTTTACAATTTTTTCCAACTGGTTGTCAAGGCTACAGCTCTAGGGTTCTCTCCTGGAGTCCCCCATGCTTCTTCCCACAGTGGCTGAGCCCTCCCAAGGACAAATCACTCCAGGGAAGCTCTGCCACGTTCTACCCTCATCATACATGGTTCTGAACTTACATCCACAGGGCCCTCAAGCCGGATTTGGGCTAGAGGCGACTATCTCCCCGGCTGCATACCTCCTTCTGGCGGGTTAAGCGATTCTCCAGCTCTTGGACTTTGGTCTGTTCTTCCTCTAATGCTTCTTTCACTCGGTTTTTCTCTTGAGAAATGCTTTCCTCCAAAGCCTGAAAACCAATGACGGGAGTGTATAGACATACTTACCACGGCGGGAATCTGGAGTCTGTTGGGCACTGCACGGGTAAGCCCTTCCCTGCTCAGGACAGCCCCCGGGGGGAGACTGCGGGCAGCTGAGAGCCTGGGAGCCCGGGTGGGCAGGCCCAGATTATCACCCCGGGGCAGTCTGTCCCAGTTGCCTGACCTTGACTGGGGCTCAGGCCGACTCTGTCTCCGCGAGCTGCATACCTTCTTCTGGTGGGTTAAGCGATTCTCCAGCTCTTGGACTTTGGCCTGTTCTTCCTCTAATGCTTCTTTTGCTCTGCGTTTCTCTTGAGTAATGCTTTCCTCCAAAGCCTGAAAGTCAGGGACTGCTGTTTATTAGACATCATTACCAGGGTAGGAATCCGGTCTCTGTGCCGGATTAGCTCTTTCACTTCTTAAGACAACCCCATGGAAGACAGAGGGCAGTAACCTGGGAACCAAGGGCACAGGGTCTGGGATTGGCAGGCCCAGATTAGAGCCTCTGGTTGATCCTTCCTAGGTACATAGCCTTGGGCAAGCGAAAAGCTCTACAAGCCTCAGTCTCCCCATCTGTACAATGGGCACAGAAACAGTGCTTCCTATGTTGGGTTGATGGGAGGGGCCTATGTGATGAGGAACGTGAAATGCCTGGCACAGGATAACAATTCACTGGTAAAGATTAATCATTTCTTCTGTGTTTTCAGCTTTTTGCCGAGGAGGACACAGTCTCCGAGAGATTAAGGAATCTGCCCAGTTTATTAGTAAATCACATAAACAGGGATTTGAACCCTGGTCTCTTTGACTCTAGAGCCAAGGGGTAGGCCAGCTAGGGCCTCTGGACCAAATTTGGCCCACTGCCTGCTTTTTGTAAATAAAGTTTTATCGGAGTCTCCAAGCTCGTTGTTTGTGGATTACCTACGACTGAGAAGTCACGACAGAGACCACACATCCTGCAGAACTGAACATACATCTACTGTCTGGCTACTTATGGAAAAAGTCTGCCAACCCCTGATCTAAACCATCAGTGTGCGCACAAACCGGGGAAGCGCTGGCAACAGATCATAATAAAGAAAGAATGTTAGCTCCACAAAGGGACCTAGAATTTCCTAACCTTGAGACAAGAGCCCTGCAACAAATCAAGATCCATGAGAAGGGGCTTAATTAATGAATTCTGACACATGTATTTTTCAGAAAGGGGTGGGGGAGACACTGCATTGTGATAAGAGTGAGGTTCATTTAAAAATTGGGGCAGCTGGCACTAAAGTCTGGGTCAGAAATTTCAGATAAGTCCCTAGGGTCAAGTTGATCAACAAAAGTGTCTGGGGAAGGATGACCCTCCACGGGACAATTGTCTGCTCGGGGAGGGGCGTCCCTGGCATCCCCCTCCGCAAGGCGTGGTGTGAGCTGAGGTTTGCTGTGATTAAAGAGGGTTTGATGTCTGTCCTTGAAACCCTGTGTCTGTTGGAATCGGTGTTACAAATGGGCGTCTGGGAGGCCCAGGCTGGTGCCCATGCTGGTGTTGAACATGCTGGGGCTGAAATACTGTACATCCGTAGCGGAAAAGTCTATCCAAAATTAAAAATAAGACATTTGGAGAGGGAGAAGTTCATCAGAGAGGAGGGAGGAAACAGGTGAAGAGAGTTTTGTGAAGGTTCCGAAGTTTCTAGGTTCTTTCTGCTTTTATTTTCCTCTCTGTGGAATGGTACAGGCTTGTCCTATATCGAATTGCCCCTCAAAAGGGACCTGCCTTGATTTAAGGCTATCGTTAACATTACCTTTATGTGGATCATACATGATTTTGGTCAGATGGTTCTTCCTCTTTAATCTTTTATTTCACAAAAGGCAGAAGGAAAGGCAGAGAAAGAGGCAAATAGGAGAAGAGGTAACCGGGCACGAATTAGAGGATGAGATGAAACAGGCAGAGGTCTCTGCCTCTTGGAGAGGCCTGGAGCACCGGTGACAGAGAAGGATGGTCCAGGTCGGGTGTCACGAAGCAGTCACTGGTGAAAGATGGAGGAAGCGGCAGGTCCAGTCCTCCTCAGGGGAAGAAAGGAGGTGTGGGGGCAGAGCCGGGGTCCAGCGGATCTGGTGCTGCTATTTGAGGTGGGCGGGGCGACAGGCAGCTGTAAACGCCCCCACACCCACCCACAGCGTGGCTCTCCACTGTGGCTCACGCTGGAACCACCAGGGAGAGCTTACAACTCCCAGTGCATGAACCACGCCCTCACCCCAGTTAGATGAGAACCTGGGGGTGGAGGTCGGGGGAGAAGTGCAAGAATTAGTATTTTTCTAATCTCTTAGATGACAAAGTGCAGTGAAAGTCGGGAGCCATGGATCTAGGATGATGGCGACTGAGGGAGTTAAATCAATGGTGGGTCCCTGAATCTCAGAAAGGGCCAACTCGAAGACAAGGATGAGAATTGGCTCATTAACTGCAGTTCCCTGGCCTTCTCCATAGATTCGGATACAGGGGATCTAGGGTGGGGCCCGGGAATCTGTATTTTTAACCAGCATCCTGATGGTTCTTATCCGCCAACTTTGGGAAATCTTTCCTCTAAGACTTTGCGGCTGAAAATGCGGTCTGCACAGGTGCGTGTCAGCACCAGCTGGGAGCCTGTCAGAAATGCAGACTCCCAGGCTCCGCCCCAGAGCTGCTGAGTCAGAATCTGCCTTTTAACTACACCCCCAGGTGGTTCACCAGCATGTCTGAGCTTGAGAGGTGCCACTGTAAGCATCCTCTAAATGACTTGGTTTCTAGAAAAGTAAGTAGCAATTTTGGCCATGTCTTTCCCCTGATGTGCACAAAGAGAAAGCAAAAGGCTGAAACAACACAAAGGTGGTCCTGTACACTCTTGGGAACCACCTGTCAGTCTCAAACCAGGACCTGCAGTAACTATTCAGATTCATAAAATCAACTGCAATATATAAACAAATGGACTACCATTTCCAGACATTTCAGTAACCTTGCCTGTTCCAGTTGATTTTACTCTGAGTTTTAGAACTCAAGCTTCGTGTTAATTTCTCCAACATCATTCACCCTCTTTAATTAATTTTGTTCCACGGCACCCAACAAGGAGTGGCTGGTTTCTCCATCTAAGGACGCGCCCTCGGTTTCTCACAGGAAGGGCCGTTTCATTAGTTGCCAGGTGTAAAGAGAAGGACAGGAATCCCCTCACCGCCTTCTCTTCCATCAGCCACTTGACTCTGGCTCTCAGCTTCTCCTCTTGCTGCAGCCTTTCCTCATTCAGCCTCTCCTTCTCTGCCAGATGCTCCCGCAGCTTTTCTTGCAGCAAGGACTGCTGAGATTCCTGAGAGCTGCTGATCCTGATCTGAAATGAGAGGAAGGCGAACTGCAGCTGATGGGGACAGGACCAACGCAGGGGAGTCACTTCCACTACCTTCGGGGGAGCGACGAACGTTCACAAAATCTTAGAAACACAGAAAAACTATGCTTAGCCTAGTACCTAGCAGGGAAGCAATAGAACACAGTGGTTAAGAGCTCAGGCTTCAGCTCTAGATAGAATCTCAGCTCTAGTTCTTTTTTCTTTTTCCTTTTTTATGGGGGTTGGGGTGGGGTAATTAGGTTTACTTGTTTGTTTATTTTTAGAGGAGGTACTGGGGATTGGACCCAGGACCTTGGGCATGCTAAGCATGTGCTCTACCACTTAAGCTATACCCTCCCTGCTCTAGCTCTTTCTAGACACCTCGTCATTTAGAAAATGAGGTTGAAGAGGGAGGGTATAGCTCAGTGGTAGAGCGTGTGCTTGGATTGCTCAAGGTCCTGGGTTCAATTCCCAGCACCTCTGTTAAAAAAAAAATTTAAATAAATAAATAAATAAATGAATACATAAATAAACCTAATTACCTCCCCCACTAAAGACCCCCAAACAAAAAAACAGAATTTAAAAAAAGAAAATGAGGTTAGTACTAGTGTCTACCTCTTAGTCATAAGAATTAAATGAGATAATGATGGAAAGCTTTTAGCACAGTGCTTACTTAGCACATAGTAGGTGCTCAGTAAATGGTAGTTAGGATGATTAGTTCCTGTTTGCTGAGTGTAAGAGAAAAAGCAGTGAGCCAGGGCCACAAGGCCTGAGCTTTTGTCTTGCTTCTTCCACCAACTAGCTGCGTGACACTGAAACAGTCCCCTAGCCTCAGAACGTCAATGTCCATATCTGTAAAATAAGGAGAATGGACTAGGTCAGGGGTTGACAAACTATTGTCTGCAGGCCAAGTCTGGTCCACTGCCCATTTTTATAAATAAAGTTTTATTGGAACAGAGCCATGCCCATCACACCCATTCATTTACACGTAGTCTATGGCTGCCTTTGCTCTACAACAGCTGAGTCAAAGAGGTGAGATGGAGACCGTATGGCCTGCAAAGACTTAAATATCTGGCCCTTTATGGGAAAAGTCTGCGGACCCCTGGACTGGATGGTCTTTGTGGTTGATCGTAATGGAGGTCCCAGTATCTCGCCCTTCCTCTAGCCATGTCCTTGGCTAGGTGACTGGCAGTGCCCACCCATATCCGGTCCCCTGACACTGAACTCAGTCATGTGACCTGTCTGGGCCAATGGGATGTTGGGAGACATAACACACGCAGAGGACTGAAAAGCACTCCATGTCTGGGCCTGCTTTCTCATCCGGATTTCTGTTTCCTCTACTATTGCCGTGACGGCATGCCCAGGCCAGGCTGCTGGAGGATGAGAGGCGCGAGGAGCCCAGCACAGCTGCTCTAGCTGAGGCCAGCCCAGGCCAACCGAGGGCCGGCCAACGCCCAGACACCTGAGCAAGCCCACACAAGGTCAGCGGACCCACCTGGCGGCTGACCCCAGACTTGTGAACAGCAGTTGTGGAACGCCGCTGAAGTTTCACGGTTGTGTATTACACAGCATTAATATGGCAATAGCTATTCTGTGCTACAGTTCCTAAGGATCATCTTGCCTCTAAAATGTTGGCGTTGTGTAACTTTTGGTAAGTCTGCCGCCTGGACTCGGGCAAGCCGTACTTCTTCCACTGCATTTAATAAACACAACTTTTTTAGATCTGACGGCATTTACATTTTTATGGTTTTTGACAGAGGAAAACAAGCCTCCTTGTCCTCCTGGGAGAGCTTATCTACCCTGTCTGAATCATTTCGTGTGCAAACAGAGACACCATCTCACCTTCTGGAGAATGTGTACTGACTTCCTAACAGAGGGCAAACAGAGTTAAGATGCACTGTGCTTTGTAAAGGCTGAGGAGGAGCTGAAACAAACTTCTGAAGTTAAAAGATTACCTGAAGTTCCTGGATCCGGCTTGTGATTTTCTTATAATGGTCCAGAAGGTATTTCAGATACAAGGACAATCCTTAAAACGAGAAGGAAGGAGAAAGTAAGTATCAATGCAATTCACCTCCTTTGCTTTCTGAGTAATGTCTTCACAGAGCTTGCCGGCAGGAGAATGAGAGCCATGCTGCTCTCTCATCAAGAAAATGTGAGTTGATTAGCTTTTGTTGGGTTCAAATCCAAGTTTTGGGGCAATAAAAAACCATTAACAGAACTCCTATCGACTAAATGTCCAGAGTGCTTTGAAACTGTGGGCTGAGTGTGGGCGGGCAGATGAAGCCATTCCTCAGGGGACTTATGGTTCAGTACAAGAGACGAGGTCTGAGTGCCTGATCGGAAACAGGCAGCAACTCCAGGTCCTGTGGAAGTGACCGCTGGAGGAGTGGGGCGGTGAGAGTCCAGGGGAGGAGAGATCGTTCGTTCGCCTGGAGGGATGACTCTTGGCTGAGAATTCACTGGGTGTGGGCCTTGATGGGTATGCAGAATTCCAAGCTGGAGGGGAGGGCATTTCCGAATGCAAGACGTGGAAGGATGAATAATGATCCCCAGAGAAATCCAGGTCCTGGTCCCTGGAGCCCGTCAATGTCACCTTACAGGGCAGAAGGAACTTTGCAGATGTGCTGAAGTTAAGGATCTTGAGATGGGGCGCTTATCCTGGATGATCTGGGTGGGCCCAATATAGTCGCATGTGTTTTTCTTTTTTCAATCTGACTTTTTGTCTCTTTCTCTTTTTTTGTAGAGGGGGGGAGTTAGGTATGTATGTATGTATGTATGTATGTATTTATTTAAAAACAAACAAAACAAATTTTAAATGGAGGTACTGGGGATGCCGAGCATGCTGTCTGCCACTGAGCTACATCCTGCCCCCTAGTCATATGGGTTCTTATCAGAAGCAGACAGGGAGTCTGACCACACACAGAGGAGAAGGTGACGAGACAGAAGAGGAGAGTTGACGATGCTCCACTGCTGGCTTTGCAGGTGGAAGAGGGGGCCATCAGCCAAGGAATGCAAGGAATAAAGGTCTAGAGATGGGACAAGGTGGGGAAACAGATTCTTTCCTAGAGCCTCCAGAAGGAGCCAGCCCTTTGACTTCAGCCTAGTGAAACGGACTTTGGACTTTTGGCCTCCAGAGCTGTGAAGGAATAAATACGGATTGTGTTAGGCCACTGTTTGTGCTAATTTGTTCTAACAGCCATAGGAAACTAATGAGGGGGCTGAAGGCAGAAGAGGAGGTGGGGAAATGCAGTGACTGTTCCGGGAGAGCGCTGGGCTTAACTGGTGTGGAGCGGACCATGGGGGAGGGGAGGGGTAGAGAGGAATTGGGGTAGGAGGCTGAGTCAATGTGTGGCCAGCCTAGAAGAGTAGCTTAAAGAGTATAAATTTGACTTAAACATTATAGGAATGTCATGAGTGTGACCTGTGTGTCCGGCCCTCCAGGAAGCGATCAACGCACCGCATCGTCCAACCATCCCCCCGTTTTACAGATGAGCCAGTCGGGCTCTGAGACCTGTGGATTCTGGACGTCATGCAGCTGGCAAACGGCTGAGCCCGGGCTGGGGCTCACGGCTGTGGGACCCCAGGGTCTGAGTCACTGCGATTTCAGCTGCTGATGGAGCAATGAGTTGGCTTCATGAAGGGTGTTTTTCCAGAAAAACAACTGGGAATGAACTGGAGAAGGAGGACCCAGCAGGGTTTCTTAATGGTAGCACTGCTGACACGTGGGGCCGGACCATTCTCGGTTGTGGGGCTGTCCTGGGCACTGCAGGACATTTAGTAGCATCCCTGGCCTCTACCACTGGATGCCAGGAGCACCCCCCACGCCAGTTGTGATCATCAAAGGTAAGAGGGTTTCGAGAAAGAGAACCAAGAGCGGTGGGAGGGCTGGAGAGAACACAGCTCGGGGAGGAAGCTGGGCCTTCAGTGCAGGAGGCTCCATGTCAGTTGCTAAAGAGGCAAAGACAAGGTAGGAAGTTGGCGGTGAGGAAGGCAGGAAGTCACGCACGCCGAGATCTTAGTGGGACAGGAGTGCAAGCAGTAGAAAAGGAGCTAAAGGAGCAGTGGTTCCAGGGAGCTACCCTCTCAAAGTGCATGTCTGATGACAGAGAGGAGTAAGAGGGAGAGATGTCAAAGAAGGAAGTCGTGATTCACAAACTTATGCACAAGATCTCCTGGGAGGGAGAGGGAAGGGGAGACGCAGGGACGGAAGAGCTGCATCTCGGGGAGACAGAGGGAAGGGAGAAAGGATGGGTGCAGCGAGAGAAAGGAGGGGAGCTGAACAGGCTCATGCCTGGGACCTTGACCTCCGACAATGCAACTTGCTGAGAATTTCCAGCTTGGAAGAGTGAGGATAATATTATAATAATAGCTATTAAGTATTAAGCACGTGCTGTGCGCCAGGCATCATGCCAGAGGTCGCACACACGCTATTTTCTAATCATTGTAGACAACCCGTGTTTGCATTTACAGGCGAGACACAGAAGACCAGCAAGGTTAAGCTGCAGAGCTGGTCAGTGGTAGGAGCAGAATTCAGACCGAGGTCCATCCTTCTCTTTTAAGAGAGACTGGAGCTCAAGAGTGATGGGTTGGGTTGGCTTCTGTGAAGTGTGCATTAGGAGACCCCAAGATAGCAGAGATGGGTGGCGTTGGCTTGGGTTCTAGGAACCTGGTGAGTGTATGGATTTCTGGGGCTAAATTGGGAGGGGTCTGCAGTCTGCTCAGCTGCAACCCTGTGACCCAGGAACCCGAGGGGCTGGATCAAATCCTGGGTAGGATCTAAAGCCGACTGGGGAACAGAGGGAACTGAGGGTGTGGGAGGGGAAGGGTGTGTGGTCTTGTTTCTCCATTCATTGATGAACTGTAATCATAAGGGGATTTCCCTCTTTTGGGGAAGAGGCACGTCTTTATTATATTTCTGGTTACAAAAGTTACACGTGCCTGTTACACAAATCCAAATATTACAGAAACCTGTAATGTGGACAGTGCTCCCTACTGTGTCCTCAGTGGCCGGCACATAGTAGGCCTGCAATAAATAGCTGTTCAATGGCTGAGCGAAAGTCAAGACCCACGTAGTCCCACCATGCTCGGACAATGCTCTCAACACTTTCTGTCTTTTCCTCCAGATCTTTCCTTTGGTCAGATACTGACTTAAAAAAAATGGGAGAACACTATGCATATTGTATTACAGCTTGCTTTTTTTTTTTCACTAAAAAAATACTGCTTATCTTGGGTATCTGAGAAAAAGTGATTTTCTATGTATGCAGGGAAGCCTTTCATTGGTAACAAAGTCTGGCAGAAATAGACACAATTGACTGAGCTTGCAAAGAAAAACGCGGAGTCCTTTCTTTCCCTTATCAAAAGACGCTGAGGAACCAGGTGGGAGGAGACGGGAACTAACTTTTAAGGTCCTCCTCAGATGTCTCCTATCTTCCCAGCTGGACCACGCAGCGAATCCCTCACCAATCAAATCTTTTTTGTTTTTTTAGGTCATAGATTTTTAAAAATTGAGGTATAGTTGATGTACAATATTATATAAGATTCAGGTGTACAACATAGTGATTCATAGATTTTAAAGGCTATACTCCATTTCTAGTTATTATAAAATATTGGCTCAGTTCCCTGTGCTGTACAATATCCTCACAGCTTATTTATTTTACACATGGTAGTTTGTACCTGTTAATCCCCAATCCCTGTCTTGCCCCTCCCCGCTTTCCTCTCTTTACCTGTAACCCCTGGTTTGTTCTCTGTATCTGTGAGTCTGTTTTTTTTGTTATATTCACTAGTTACTTTTATTTTTTAGATTCCACATACAAGTGATATCATACAGTATTTGCCTTTCCGTCTGATGTATTTCACTTAGCATAATACCCTCCAAGTCCATCTGCGTTGTTGCAAATGGCAAAATTTCATTCTTTTTTATGGCTGAGTTGTATTCCATTGTGTGTACATGTATGTGTGTGTATATATATATATATACACACACATACCACATCTTCTTAACCCAGTCATCTGTTGATAGGCACTTAGTGTGCTTCCATATCTTGGCTATTGTCAATAATGCTGCTATGAACATTGGGGTGCATGGATCTTTTTAATTAGTGTATTCTTTCTTTTTTTTTTCCTGATAAATACCCAGGAATGGGATTGCTGGATGATATGGTAGTTCTATTTTTAGTTTTTTGAGAAATCATCATACTGTTCTCCATAGTGGCCTCACCAATTTACATTCCCACTGACAGTGGGGGAGGGATCCCTTTTCTCCACACCCTCTCCAGCATTTGTTATTTGTGTTCTTTTTGATGACGGCCATTCTGACTGATGTGAAGTGATACCTCATTGTAGTTTTGATTTGCTTTTCTCGGATAATTAGCAATTTTGAGCATCTTCTCACGTGCCTGTTGGCCATCTGTATCTCTTCTCTGGAAAAAT